AGTTGTACTATCATTATCCCCATTTTGCAGAGGAGGAAAGTGAGACATGGGAGGTTAATACTCTCCCAAGGCCTCACAGCTAGTATGTGACATGAACGAAATGGCCTTTGTACCCTGACAGGCTGGCTCCAGAGCCCAGCCCTTAACCCCCGTAGCGCTCATTAGGGAATGAGCGACTCACTGATGATGGAACTATGAGCAGACTACTGGCCACCGAGACCTTCAAGTCACCTCTGCCATCCTCTGACAGCCACTGGAGTCTGGTCACAGCCCACATCCATCCACACATCATAACAAGGACACCCCCTGCATCCACCCTGGGCCTGGCTTTTCCCTGCACTACGCAACACCTCTTTTGGCTCAGCCACCAAAAAGACATGTGCCCCTCTGCCTGCATGGTGATTCTGGAATTCCACCGCTTTCTCTCTCCCACCCTTTATACTTCCTATGGCTCTCACTCCCAGCTTAGAACCGCAGAGGATTCGAATCATGGACTTCGAGGGTGTTTTAGGGCCTGAGAGGCTCCCTTAGTCCACTCACCAGGAACCAGGTCCACACCAAGGATCAGTCCCTCTGTTGTGCCCACAGATCAGGAAGCTACCTGCTGGGAGAGCTGCGTCACTACACACTTCCCAGTGCCAGCACGGTCTCCCTGCCAAGGCTGCCCTCTCCCCACACCCCCAATACAACATCTGTTTTCTATTCTTTGTTAAGAACATCTTGTGCTTGAACCCCAGGGTAGTAGGGCGAAGGGGGGTGGCCCTTTGCTGGGCTGTGTTTTGTGTCCTAAGCCAACCATACTCGTTAAGCCCACGCTCTAGCTTCTTTTACTTTTAAAGACTAATAACTAATGTAGCTTTGTGTTTGCTCAGCCCCAAAGACCTCTGTCCTCCCCTTTTTTAATCCAAATCTCCATTTGGCTCCATTAGAGTATTCTGTTTTATTTTTATTATTTTGTTTTGTTTTTGTTTTTTCTCTTTTTGTTTGTCTTTGTTTTGTTGATGTTGTTTTGTTCTAGATTATTCTTTTTTAAACAACAACAGCAACAAAACTCTGGAAATCAACATATTATTTGTAGGCAATAAAATTCACTTGTTTTAAGTGTACAGTTTGATGAATGCTGGTAAATTTATACAGTTGTGTGACGACTACAGTCAAGATGGTGAACGTTTCTTTTCCGCACCAGGAAAAGCTTCCTCGTGCCCCTGGTTAGTCAGTCTCCCCAGATGCAGCCCCAGGCAACCACCCATAGACTTTCTGTCACTGCAGTTTCGCCTTTTCTAGAATCTCAAAAGAATGGAACCATACTTGTAGACCTTTGTGTTTGATTTCTTTTATTTAGCATAATGTCTTTGAGGGTCCTCCTTGTTATTGCATGTAGTGTTTTAGTCCCTCTGATTGCTGAGTAGTGTTCTAGAAAAATTTAAAAAGCCACTGTCCATTCACCAGATGATGGATATTTGGATTGCTTCTAGTTTAGAGCTATTATTAATGCAGCTGCCATGGACATTCACATACACATGTAAACATGTCAGTTTCTCTTGGGTAAATTCTAGGAGTGCAGTGTGGCTTGTATGGTAACTTTACAAGCGTGCTTTATAAGTAAGTTGCTTTGTAAGTACGATTTAACTTTATGAGATACTTCTATAGATTTTTTTCCGAAGTGGCTGTGCCATTTTGCATTCCCACTGGCAACATTCCTATTTCCCAGTTCCTCCACGTCCTTACCAAAGCTCAGTATTGGTGTTCTTTTTTAATCTTAGCCATCTTGGGAGTGGATGATGGTATTTCATGGTGGTATTTCATTCTCATTTGCATTTCTCTATTGACTAGTGATGTTGAGCATCTTTTCATAGGCTTGTCATTTATATATCTCCTTTTGGGAAGCATCTGTTTAGTATTTTACCCATTTTTGATTAGGCTGTTTGTCTTCTTATTACTAAATTGACAGAGTTCTTTACATATTCTGGATACAAACCCTTTCTGGATATCTGTTTTGGAAAAAACTTCTCCCAGTTCCCCTTGGGCTTACACTTGATAAGAGGTACAGTTGACCCTTGAATAATGCAGGGGTTTGGGGTACCCACCCCACACACAACAGAAAACCTGTGTATAACTTTTGACTGCTCCCAAATTTAACTACTACAGTTGTCCCTCAGTATCCATAGGACAGTGGTTCCAGGACCCCCCACAGATATCCAAATCCATGGATGTTCAAGCCCCCTATATAAAATGGTGTAGATCAATGCAAATAGCCAGCCCTCTGCATCCGTGGGTTCCCAACTGCACATCCAAAACAGTACAGGTATTTCTTGGGGGGGGAAATCCGTGTATTGGTAGACCCACACAGTTCAAACCTATGTTGTTCAAGGGTCAACTATAGTGATGTGGTGTAGGAAGAGCCTGTGTCTACACTGCTTCCTAGCCGTTCCTTCTTGGGCAAATCCCTTCCCCTCTAAGCCTCAGTTTCTTTATCAGTAAAATGGGGACAGAATACCTACCCTGCCTTTCTACAGCATTGTCAGGGGTCCTAGGAAGAATTATGACCATGAAACCATTTTGTAAACTCCTCAGACCTGTAAATAGGTTAACAGTATGGTCAGGCTGCTGTTGAACACTGAGACCCTTCTGCATCCCTGCCCTTAGGCTGTGCATTATCCAGAAGGAGAGCAGTATAGGGCAGGCACTCTCTAGTCAAGGCAGATTGCCAAGGAGGGATGCAGATGGCAATTGTGCAGAGCATCCCCATGGGCTTCAGGAGGAGGGAGGTGCTCACTCATGCAGCTAGCATGTCCCAAGTGCCTCCTTTGTGCCAGGCCCTGACCTCAGCACTAGGAAAACAGCCTCACAGAGCCCCCAGACCAGTGGGGGCAACCAAAGAGTGAATGGTGCTGTGTGTATCCTGTCCTGACAGGAGAAGTAGTCTGGCTGCCCAGGATCACAGCAGGGGCCCTGAGCCTGCTTTGAAGGAGGGTTACAAAAGGGGGCAGCCCGGCAGAAGGACCAGCATGTGCAGAGTCCTGTGCGCCAGCCCATCATGTGCCCTGTTGGATCCTGATGCTTTGCTGAAAGCCCCAGTGGTCCCACAGGGACTCCCATAACACCCAGTGATATTATTTCCAGGATCACCCTGAGGCGGCTACAGATGGAGTTGTGTGCCCCTTTGCAGGCGTTGGCTGCTCCTTCAAGGTAAGCATCTGAGTGTGAGAAAGGACATCTCTCCACTGCAACCCTAGAGCACTGGGTCTCCCCACTTCAGCCCTTCCAGGATTTTCCCACATCAAGCTACTCCTCTGTATGCCCCTTACATTAATGACCTTCTCAAGCAGCAAATCTCACTAGTAAAACATTTCCACACTCCAGAAAGTTCTTCTTAATGTCTCATCTTAGCATTGTAGCATCACTGAAATGACCAACCCCTCCCCCCATGCCTCTCTCCATGGTCCTGAATCATCACTGCACTTGGGGCAGAATTGTTGCTCTAGACCAGGGGTGGGAACGTCTGGTCCATGGGCTGTATCATTTGGTCTGGCCCTGCCAAGGCAACCATAGGCAGGACTCAAAATTCAATAAGTCTAGGAGTTTTTTTCATAGCTAATTTTTAAGTTGATAATTTTGTATGGCCCGCAAATGATGTTATAAATATCCAAATGGCCCTCGGCAGAAAAAAAGTTTCCCCACCCCTGCTCTAGAGGCTTGGAGGCACGTGGCTCACTGTGGGCATGTCTCATGCCAGGGTCCTCTGATTCCCTCTTGCTGCACACAAAACAAGTTTGCCTTTGCTGAGTGAATGGATCTGACTTTCTTTGGGAACCTTGACTTTCTTTGGGAACAGGGGAGCGCCAAGTTCATGCAGGAGCATGAAGTCACCTCTCAGGCCACCCACCTAAACCTGCTGTTGGAGTTCATGAAACAGTGGAAGGCCCAGCTGGGCTCAGGCCTGGGTTCAGGGCCCATGGCCCTGGAGCGGAATCTGTCAGACCTGCAGCTGCAGGCGGCCGTGGAGGTGGCTGGGGACCTGGAGGTAGACTGCTACCGGGCACCCTGCTCTGAGAACCAGGAGGAGTTGGCCCTGCAGCACTTCATGAAGGAGAAGCTCCTGGCCGACTTGGAAGGGAAGCTGCGCGTGTTTGAGAACATCGTCGCCGTCCTCAACAAGGAGGTGGAGGCCTCCCACCTGGCCCTGGCTGCCTCCATCCACCAGAGCCAGCTGGACCGCGAGCTCATCCTGAGCTTGGAACAGAGGGTAAGCATGGGATACAAGGTTGCCTTCAAGGCTGGCTCAGGGGTTCTCTTCTGCCCTGGCTTGTCTCCAGAGCAGTGGATCAACCTTCTTCTGAAGCATTCTCTCCACTCACAGCAGTCATTCCCCCATCAAAAAGTATCTCTCCTGTGTCCCAGGACCTCTAGGTGGAGCACTTGGAAGTTCTAGTTAAGGTCAATTCCCCCATCCAGTGCTTCATTTCCTTTGCTCAAATTTCTCCCATGGTAGGACACTCCCTTCCCAAGCTGCTCATTCCATTGATGGATTTTTTCACTATTAGAAAGTTCTTCCTACACCAAACTGAAATCAGTCTCTTTGTTTCTTACCTGCATTGTTCCTGACTTTGCCCCTCAGGGCCCACAAAATAAATCTCCCTTCTAGATCCTGTGGAAGCCCTTCAGAGATGAGCAATCAGTGATTATAACCTACCTGAGTATTTCCTTCTTTAGGCTAAATGCCCCTAGTGCCTTCACCCCTTCATCACAGCACATTGTTTCATGCTGTTCACATACGCTCTGGCTCAGTCTCTAAAGGATTCCACACATTCAGAATGGTGATCCTGGACCAACTCCAGATAATCCACTTACCTGACAGTTCTTGGTTGAACAGGACTGTCATCCCCTCCTTTGTTCCAGAGCTTATACTTTTCTTAATATAATCAGTCACCATGTTAATGTTCCCCCTTTTTTTGGGGGGGGGAAGCCAACATGACATCACTGTCTCATGTTGAGTTAGTCCTGGATTTTAGTTCCAGCTCCACCATTAACTTGCTATGTCTGAGCAAGTCACTTTCCCTCTCAGTACTTCAGCTTTCTCATCAGTAAAATGAGGGATTCAGCTTCTTTAAAGAACACTCATTTCCACTCCTGGCTTCCCTATGTGAGCACACCCAAGAATAAATTTATATTATGTCAAATGTGAATGGGGAAACCTACCGGAAGAACCAGGCACTGGGTTTGAGTGAAGAGGAAAACCTTTTTTTACGTAACTCTTGCCCCAGTTAGAAGGTGGGCTCCCTGAGGGCAGCGACCATGTATTTAGTTCATGAGCAAACTTCCTGGCTCTACTCTTACATGCCAGGCACTATGCAAGGCAGGCACACAGAGAGAAAATGAGCATGGGCCCAGCCCTCGGTAGGGAAGACATCTATCTGGTAGGAAAGGCAGAAAAATAACCCTCATAAAACTGCTGTAAAGGCTCTGTAAGAACATAGATGAGAGAGAGATCAGCTGAGCTAGGGCAGTGATTGAATGCTTCCCAGAAGAAGGGCTGTGTGAGCCAGGTTTCTGATGGATGAATAGGAGTTGGCCAGTAGAGGAGGAAGGAAAAGGAATCCCAGGCAGGAGGTACAGCGCATGCAAAGGCAGATGCACACGCCTGAGGGAGACATGGTCAGGAAGGCATATTTTTGGCAGTGTATCTCCATATCACACCCCCCTAAGCTAGGTTCTGGTGTCCCTGGCTGAGCTGGCTTTCCCACAGGTGATGGATTTGCATCAGACACTGGCCCAGAAAGACCAGGCCCTGGGTAAGCTGGAGCAGAGCCTGCGCCTCATGGAGGAGGCCTCCTTCGATGGCACCTTTCTGTGGAAGATCACCAACGTCACTAGGCGGTGCCATGAGTCAGCCTGTGGCAGGACCGTCAGCCTCTTCTCCCCAGGTAACACCTCTCCAGGAGCACAGAGACTCACTGGGCCCTGAAAACAGCATGGGGAGCAGCCAACTCTGTGACTCCGTACTGTGTCCAGTTAGGCCAGTGTCCCTTTGGGCCACCTACCATGCTGGGACCACAGAGGGGGCAGCGCCTGGCTCAGCCATGTAGAGCACGGGTTATTTGAACTGCCACACCTTCCATCTCCCTGAGTATCAGTCACATCCTGCAGACAGGAATAAAATTGTCATTGACTTCGAATGGATGTCTGATGTGAAAGACAGTGTGCCGTGAACCAAAGCGTGTGCGAGTGAGAGGAGGCAGAGGATGATTCTCACAGGCGAGTCCCTGGGACCCCGCCCTCAGAGAGCCAGTGGTCCGAAATAAGACAAGCGCAAGGCTGAGTGCACGATTGTGGGTAGGGCGTTAGGAAGTGGTGTGTGACCGGGGCAGTTCTTATTCATTTCTAGGGCCCCGGGGCCTGCCATAGTGTCTTGTGTGAAGTAGCTACTTGGTAGATGTTTCCCTCAATTAATCGATTTCTGTTTCTAAAACAATGTGTATATTTGTGCATGGAATGCTCAGACCTGCGTGCTCTCCCCCTCTTCCCTCTCGTCTTTCATGTGCGTCCTCATAAACGGCAAGAGGGAGGGGGACATTAAGGAAGGTGTGTGTAGATGATGACCTGAACGGCCTCTCACCTTTGCCCCAGCTTCATACGTCTCCTGTCCATCTGCTCCTCTGATGCACCAACAGGGCTGGGATAGAGAGAGGCATCGGAGTTTGCTCCACACCACAGAGCAGAGCTGGGTCCCAAAGCCAGGCCCCTTTCCTCACTCGGCAGCCCCTTCATGGGGTGGCCTCACCTCCAACATGTAGGCTTTTTCTCTTCTCTTCTTTCCAATGAGGGACAAAGCAAGCAGTGTCTCTGGCTTCCTGTTCTACCAAAACGTAAGGACAGGATGAGTCAGACTGTCTGTCCCTCCTCTGCCCCTTCCTGCCTGCCCCACCCACCCTCTGTCCCCAATCACTCCCTCCTAGAGGGGCCCTTATGGTGACAACCACTGGAACCCACACTGCATGACCCCTTTGGCTGCCGAGGGAGAGAGCCCCCAGGCCCCTGTGCTGAGTCACCAGAGAGTGATTCACTCCTCAGGGGCCTTTGCCAAGGGTGCCTGGAAGAACTGTGAGCCCCCTCAATCTTCCCCAGCCTCCAGAAGCCCCCAGCCCCTTGGCCTAGGACAGCAGAAAGAAGTCAGTGTTGGATTGTAGGAGGCCTGGCCCCTAATCCTGGCTCTGTCCCCAGCACACTGAAGCCAGACACTTCCACTGGCTGGGTTCGGTTTCCCAATGGCAAAATGCAGGTCGGTTAAGTCCAAAGTATGGTCCCTGGACCAACAGCATCACTGTCCCCATTGGACATGCAGATTCTCAGTCCTCACCCAGCACTACTGATTCCAAAACTCAGGGGGTGGGGCCTGGCAATCTGTGATTCTGATGGCCAGTTGACAGCCACTAGGCTAGATGAGCTCCAAGATCTGGATCCTCTTGGACTGTATGTAACCAAGAAGAATGCTGGGCTCCACCCCCAGATTTCTTATTTGATTCCCTGACCTTGGGCATGCCTAACTTCTGGCCCCAGTTTCCTCATCTGCAATGCTAGCAGTCTCTAGCTGCATCGGTGCTGACTCTGGCTTCCACATTCCAGCTTTCTACACTGCCAAGTACGGCTACAAGTTGTGCCTGAGGCTCTACTTGAATGGTGATGGAACAGGAAAGAGGACCCACCTGTCACTCTTCATTGTGATCATGAAAGGGGAATACGATGCTCTGCTGCCCTGGCCTTTCCGGAACAAGGTACGGGCCAAGGGGAACACTGGGGGTGGGATGGGGAAGCCTGGGTCCTGGTCCTGGTCTAGCCATGAACTGGCAGGTGACCTGCGCAAGTCCCTTGCCCTCTCTGCATTATCAGCTTCTCCTTTCATAAAATAAGAGCCTGAGTTCACATCTAGTAGCCAAGGCTCCCTCCAGCATCATTAGTCCATGGGCAAAAATGCCTGGACCGACACCCCTGAGAGGCATGTTGAAAAGAAATTCACCTGGTGGGATGAATAAGGAAACTTCCTGGAGGAGGTGCTGTGGGGCCAGCCTGAACTAGCAGCATTTTCAGAGAGAGGGAGGGAGGCAGATGATACTACACACCTGTCAGAATGGCCAAAATCCAAAACACTGATAACACCAAAGGTTGGCAAGGATGTGGAGCAGCAGGAACTCTCACTCACTGCTGGTAGGAATGCAAAATAGTACAGCCACTTTAGAAGACAATTTGGTAGTTTCTTATAAAACTAAATATACTTATAACATGTGCTGCAGCAATCACACTCGTTGGCGTTTACCAAATGAGTTGAAAACTTATGTCCACACAAAAATGCACACATGGATGTTTATAGCAGCTTTATCCATAATTGCCAAACTTGAAAGTCACCAATATGTCCTTCAGTAGGTGAATGGATAAACAAACCATGGTACATTCAGACAATGGAATATTATTCAGCACCAAAAAGAAATGAGCTATCAGGCCATGAAAAGACATGGAGGAACCTTAAATGCATATTGCTAAGTGAAAGACACCAATCTGAAAGGCTACATACTGTATGATTCTAGCTATATGACATTCTGGAAAAGGCAAAACGATGGAGACAGTAAGAAGATCTGTGGTTGCCAGGGGTTGTGGGGAGAGAGGGATGAATGGGCAGGGCACAGGATTTTTAGGGCAGTGAAACTATTCTGTATGATACTATAATGATGAATACATGTTATCACACATTTGTCCAAACCCATAGAATGTACAACACCAAGAGTGAACCCTGATGTAAACTATGGACTTCGGGTGACAATAATGTGTCAGTGTAGGTCCATCGAGTGTAACATACATCCCACAATGATGCGGGCGTTGGTAGTGTGGGAGGTTGTGTGGGGGCAGGAGGTGATGGGAAATCTGTATTTTCCATTCAGTTTTGCTGTATACTTAAAACTGCTCTAAAAAATAAAGTCTATTAAGAATGTTTAAAAGGGCAAGAGTGCCACAGTGGTCTGGATATGAGCTGTAGGTCAGTAGTCCCCACACCTGCCCGGAGATTTTAAAAATACCCACACCTGGGTCTCACTATATAGAAAATAGTGAGGCCTGAGCATCAGGATTTTTAAAAACTTCCCAGGGGATTCTAAGTGCAGCCAACTTTGAGAACAGCTGCTGTGGGTGATGGGAAGACATTTCATGTCCTGATGGGCATTCCAGTGACGTGTACCAGGGAAGAGGGTTTGTGTCACTGAGGTCATCAGCATCTTGGGGGTACACATATCTGCCCTGTGCAGACAGACATTTCCAGACATTGACTGACAGCCCCTCAGCAGAAGGCCTCTTTCTTCTCGCCCCCCTGCCTCACCTAGGAGGTTCCGTGTAGTTGACTATCAAACATCTCTGAGCGGGAAGGGGCATTACAGGTTATGAGTCCAGCCTCCTTGTCAGGGCTCAGTCCCACCTATAGCCCCAGCAGCCAACCAAAATTGACTGTGGCAGCCAAATTCCCTCTTACTGTTGAATAGAACATCAGATCCCTAATTATAGGACAGTCCCCAAAGCCTGCTCAGAATACCAGGTGCTTCCATTCCCAGGGGCTCCCTAACAAATCTGAGCTCAGGGTCTGAGGGGCTGCACAGTGGCAGACAGACCAGCTCTGAGCCCCTGGGTGCACTGCCCAGGGTCTGACCTCCCACCTGCCCTGTCCCATAGGTCACCTTCATGCTTCTGGACCAGAACAACCGTGAGCACGCCATTGACGCCTTCCGGCCCGACCTGAGCTCAGCATCCTTCCAGCGGCCCCAGAGTGAAACCAACGTCGCCAGCGGCTGCCCTCTCTTCTTCCCTCTCAACAGGCTGCAGTCGCCCAAGCATGCTTATGTGAAGGACGACACCATGTTCCTCAAGTGCATCGTGGAAACAAGTGCTTAGGGGATCTGGGGACGAGTAGCTGCATCTGTGTCCTGAGGGAGCACCAACCCAGACTGGAGGAAGTCCTGCCTTGGTGTCCACAGTCCCCAGGCACAGTAATAGCTGGGCTGGCATGATCGGAGCAGGGCTGACAGGTTGACTGTGGCAGCCATCAGCTTAGGTGGCTGGCAGGCCCTTGGGCTGGGCCCACAAAGGCAGAGGGTTCAGAAGGAGGTGGTGGCAGAACTGTTCCCTCTGCACTGACCACGCAACACTGGCCGCCACTCCAACCCTGAATGTTGAGGCAGACTCTGACTAAGATGGGGAGGGAAGGGGGACCAGACCTGGGACATGGATCGCCACCTGGAGATAAAGGACCTGAGCCTAGAAGGTCTCTGCAGGGCCACCATGGAAACTGGAAACACACTTGCTGCCCTCCTGCCCGGGGTCAGAACCAAGGGGTGGAAGGGACAGGTTGCCAGTGTGAAATCATTCTGTCCAGACATGCACTGAGTTCCCCATCACTGGAGGTAAACAAGCAAAGCCAGAGGGCTACACTGGAATGGGGGAAGGCATTAAATTGGGGGTTGGATATGAAGACCTTCAAAATTCCTTCCAGCCCAGAAAGTCTCTAATTCTAGGCCTCCTGGTCCAGGTGAGGCCTATGGCTGCAGGGGCTCTGGAAACATTCAGGAGCCTCGTGTCCTCCAGGTTTCGCACTCACCTTCAGTACCACCAGGTGGGCTGAGCTGGCCGGCACAGCACCTACCACATACACACAAACCCTGCGTCCTATGCCTCCCCCAGCCCAATTCCCCTTCACCTTCTCCAGGTGCAACAAGGTCACTGAGCTCTCAGGAGCAGCCAGAGGAGCGTGAAGGAAGAGAGGCATAAACTCTCCACTGCCTGCCCGGGGCTCACCTTCCACGCTTTCCAGAATCCTGTGTCGCCTGATTAACCAAGGTATTCACTTTTCTCGTTGACTGATCAGGGTCTCTGAGCCACTAGCAGAGGTTGCCCTTTCAAATGTGTATAAAACCAAAGAAATATTTTTTTAAAAAACCCTCTTTTGACGTTCTCATGATGGCGTATGGTCGTGGAAGTTGGTCATAACTGAGCCAAACCTGAAAGGACCGTTGCTGTGTTTCAGTGGCACTGCCAGTTTTGCAGGTAACATCCCCTCTTGCCTTAGTCTTTTCCTCTCTGTAATGGGGAGAAGCAGCCAGCCGCCTCCCTCGCTGGGTTCTGTGGACCTCACAGGAGGTGCTAACAGGAGAGGCTGGAGAGAGAAAGGCCTGGGCACCACTGCCTACCTGTCATGGCCTGGCTGTGGTCCACGCTTGTCTTCTCACCTTGGAGGCCTCACACAACCAAGTCCTACGGGGACCCTGGCTTGCTTTCCAGAGACCCTGAGGCTTCATGCTGCGGCTCAGAGCTCCAGGTCAGGGCCTCACTCCTCTCCACCCCACCTCCCAGAGCCTTCCCTGCAGCTCACTTGCTCTTTCTCTACTTGTGAGGCTGTGATCAACTTCATTCCTCACACCCTGAGGGTCGGCTCTGTGAAGTGGGTCAGCAGTCCGGCCTGTTCCTCACAAGAGGTGAGGGAGCAGCACAGCTTGATGGGCTCCTTGGGTCAGAAAACCCAGACCCAACCCTCATCCAGACCTGGTCTCCTGCCCTGCCTCAGCCTCTTCATTTAAAGGGGATGCATGTGAAGGGGCTTTGTCAGTGCCATGGCATTTTGTCATGCCTGAAGGGCTGCAAACATGTGAGGGCTCCTTCTTGTCCCTGCTGTTGACAGCCCGTCGGTAATGGAGACGGACTTGCTTCCTCAGTGGGTGTGAACAGCAAGGGAAGACCTGGTCACACAAGTTATGGGGAGTCCTGCTTCAGAGCTGGTGTTCTGATAACAACATCATCCCTCCTCACTGAGTCCCTACCTCACGAGATTTGTAGAGCAAGCTACTGCTAGGGACCACTGTGACTCTACATCTTTAATGGTTTATTTCTGATGGGATGAGACACAGACTCTCTTCAGGGTGGGAGGCAGCCATTCTTTCAGTAAAGCTTTATTGAGACCTACTGTGCCAGACCCTAGGCAGGGAAAATTAAGATGTGCACCCTAACCTCAAGAAACTCTTAGTTCAGTGGGGGAAATCCATACATAGGTAGATCGTTGGAACTGGTACATAAGAGAAGCTCAAAAACAGGATTTCAGATCTTTTGGGTGAAGCAGGGAGGGCTTCATGGAAGAGGTGACATTGAAACTCAGCCTTAAAATATTTTGAGGTACAGAAGATCAGGGTGGGGGGAGAGTACAGACTCGGAGATGGGACGCAGCCTTAGCTTCGAGTAGGGTCTGCCAGATAGGACCACGGAGGGAAAGGCAGAAAGGTACTCTGGGCTGGAGCACGGAAGGCATTGAAGGCAGTTCCATCTGCCAGAAAGTAAATCACCTGCATGTGACCCTTTGGGCTGTTAACAGCAGGATGAGACAGGGGTTTAAAATATTTACTAATTTGTCTTCCAACAAAGCCCTGTGTTAAGTGCACCAAACCCCTGACATCTTACTTCTTTAGAAGTAAAAAATAGAAATAATACTAATATATGAATATATTTCTAAGACATAAAATGCCTACCTTGTTGAGGTGCTACAAGTATTATATAAGATATTTAATATAAACTCCAATTTCAGAGTCCTTAAGAAGCATCCATGTCTTTCTGCCACTGCCCTATGGCTTCGCATCTTACTGTGTTGCTTACTTTCAGGTCAATGTTAGATAATACTAGTAACAGACATCCTTATTAGGTTCCTTGTTTTAATTGGAAGGCTCCCAGGGTTTTACCGAAGAGCCTGTTGATCAAGCAATCGTGCCATTGTAGCTGTTATATAAACGACATGAAAGTTACAGACTCCTCTTAAATTTGAAAGCTCCAAAACCTCCCACAATTTTACTTTTCAATTATACATCAATGAAGCTGGGAAAAAAAGCTTGCTGGAGGTTCCTATGCTTTATTTTTCTTAAGAAGTCTATTCCTTACTTTATGAGTCTTAGTGGCTCTGGGGTCCAAGTGAGAAAATGAGAAAACCTGGGGAAGCCATGCCAGATTAATGCTCCAGCGGGGCTCCCCTCCCTCTGGAGCTTGGAAAGAAAGGGCAGAGTCCTTTAACCTGGATTCAGCTTCTGACCTGCTCTTTCGTGGTTGTGTGACCTTGGACAAGTCACATTACCAGCTCTGAGCCCAAGTGTCCTTACAGGCAAAGCTGAATCACCAAGTCCCCTACATGCCAGGGACTGTCGCCTGTTATTACCACGTAAGGTCCTGACACATAGAAGGTGCCCAGGAATGTTCGCTGAAGTTGATGCTCTGGTGGTTTCTGTGCCGTGTTTATTTAAGAGGGAGATTCCCTAAAGCCTTCTACCAATAAGCGGTTTATTAGGTGTTCACTCAGCAAATCCTTCTGACACCCACTGTGCTAGTCTTGGCAGTCAGTGGTCAACATTGCTGTGCACAGTGGTAGGGGACACAGACAATAAATGAACACATACGAATGTGAGGGACAGCCAAGGGCTTAAAAGGGGAGCAGCTGGTTGCCAGGGTGGCCCCCCCTGGTGGGGCCCGGGCCACCCAGGGCCCCGCAGCATGTGGGATGCAGTGACTGCTGCTTGCACTCCCAGCCCCCAGCCGCTCTCCCAGCCGCCTTTTCCTGGACTGCGCCAGCCCTCCCCAGGCAGCCTGGGCCTCCAGGCCATAAGAGGGCTTCTGGCTGCTGCCACAGCCAAGGCCAGAGAGAGGAGGGGGCACAGTCAGAGAATGCACTTAAGCTGCCTTGTTGGGGTGAGCAGGTGGGGAGGGGACGCTGGCCTGCAGCAGCTTCTCCAACATCCTCCCCAGGAACTGGGAGGTGGCCTGGAGATTAGGGGCCAGGTGGCCCCAGGGGCTGCTGGAATCACTAGGATCCTATTGCTTTGTCCTAGAAAAGTAGTAGAAACATTTAAAATAAGAATCCTAAGATTGGCATTCAGGGCCCAACCAACCTTTCTAATCAGGTTTCTCTTAACTTTGTCTTATTTCTCACCCTTGTCTTGGGGTCCATGACCGATTCCATGGGGATCACAAAGCAGTATCAGGTCATAGCTGACCTGCAGAAGCTGGTGTGATGATGATTGGGTGAGGGGATTACTGAGCACAAACCATGTGTGAGATTTGCTTTACAGAAGCCCTAGCATTGTCCCTGTTTACAGAGGAGGTGGCTGTGGCTACAAACTGCTTCAGTGGTCTGCAAGCTGGCCATGCATCCGTATCGCCCTGAGGGCTTGCTAAAACCTGGAGTGCCACCCCCCACCACCACCACCACTTTTTTTACTCAGTTGTTCTGGGGTGGGGCCCAGAATCTGCACTCATCCCATGTTCTCAGTTGGTGCTGATGCTCTCTGTCGGGGGACTACACTTTGGGAACCTCTGCCCTACACAATGGTACCCCCTGTGAATAAATTTTCTGCCCTTAGGCCGACCATAAATTCAGCATCACCCACTTCCCACAGCAAGGATTTATGATGAATTACCTTCCCTAAACAGGTGTTAAAGAGGGTTCTGTTCCTGACTCTCAGGCCGGTGTCCCACCCAGAGAGGACATTCAGTCCTCTGTGAGTGCGCCACCTGAATGGCCCGGACACAAACCTCCTGGAGCGTGGGCACGTTTATCAATGAGGGCAAGCGACAGCTCAGGATGAATTTGCTCCCTTCAGTGATCCCCAGGAGGGAGACCAGGCAGGGTTAGGGGAGGTGCTGGGAAACTTGGAGAAAACTGCCAGAGGCTCCCAGAACAGGGAGGTATAGGGTGAGGCCTGGAGAGCTGAGTGATGGGGAAGCAGGAAGGGCCTTCAGCACCTGCACATGCTGGGAAGAATGAAGGGGCAGCGGTAGACTCATAGACTCGGACAGGAAGCTCCCTGCACCGGCACTGTAACCAGGGGTGACCTCAGCATGGTGAGTGACCTGGGACTGAGAGCTGAGGCACACATGTCTGTTTTACTCCCCCAGGGGGTACATGTAGCTTCTTTGTCGGACTCTAGCTGGCTTGAGCAGCGTGAGAATATCCTCATTCTGTTATGTACCAGGCATTTTATATCCATAATCTCACTCAGTCCTCCCAAAACTCCAAGAAGGTGGGTGCTGAGATGATACCCATTTTACAGATGAGGAAACTGAGACTAAGAGAGCTTAACTTGGCTAAGGAAATGAAAGGGCTATTGTTTCCCCATCTCTAAACTGTCACTTTCCACACCATCCTCCTTCCCCTCGCTTCCCCTCACTTCCTGAACACCTGCTCTGTGCAAGGCCCGGAGGGGGACCGAAAGATGAATCATTCCAGTAGTCACTTATTCAACAAACTCTTTTCGAGCACTTACTATTTTGTGTGGGCTTATTTATTTATAGCCTGCCTCGTTTCAGAAAGCACTTAACATAACTTCTTTACTTGATATACAAGAGAATAAAAATGTGAAAACACGGTCATGTGATGGGTGACAAATGAAAAACAGAAGTTGGAAAGGTCAGAAGAAGCCAGGAATGAGACAGGTCTACAAAATACAGACCTTGAGGTCCTACACGTTACAGAGACAGGCCACAGATTGTCCTCTGAGCTTTCTAGCAGGCAAAGACCGATCCCATGCGGTTCAGGGTCCATAAGACACTAACAAACCAGCTGCTGAGGCGAAACGTGACTCTCATAGGCCCCGAGACCAGTGAGGCCTTTCCTAGTGAGCTGGCACGAAGAGCTGGCACTGTGGAACCTAAGGAGCAATGTCCTCAAACAGCGTACTTACTGCACGTACAGCACGAGTCCCGGGCTCTTTCCTGTACTCCCCTCCGCGCTGGCCCAAGTCCCAAAGCGGAGAAGCAGCTCAGAAGAGAGAGAGTGACCACGCAGCACGAGAGCCACTCTCCAGTTTAACCCACACGCAGAGTTCATAGGAGGCATTCGTAGCAAGCTGGCGCTCCACTAGCTTAATGCAGCCCCCAGTTAAGCTTCCCTTGGACTGAAAAGTGTATTTAAAT